CTTTTAAAGAGCAAAACAGTTTATGGAAATAAATAAAAAAATTAATTTGTAAGAATGGTTTATTCAAAGTAATAACAATTCTGAAGTTGCAAGTGAATTATATTTTAATCGTTACCCACAAAGGGTTATTTTATACAGAATGCCTTAAAACATGTCTTAAATATGACTAATTTTAAGTTTATATTACTCAATTTTTTCAAATAGAACACTCAAAATACTATTTTAGTATAAAATTAATCCAAATGTTAAACTATCAACCCATAAAATTTTACTCTCTACTGTAGAGTTAATATCAACTGATTTAGCGTTTTTAACTTTTGTAAATATTCCACACAAGAAAGGACTTTTTGTTTGTCTAACTAATACGAATGTAACCATCAACGAAATTCCCAAGAACAGAGCTGAAATGTTTTTAAGAGATAAGGGTGACTTTTTATATTAAAACCATTAATCACAGATAAATAATATTAATTTATCACAATGTTGGCTTGAAAACAATCATCATTGTCGGCCTATCGTGTTATTTTATTTTTTTATCACTGATTTTTAAATTATTAGTTAATACACTCTTTCTAACATAATAGATGCTCTAATATTTTATTTAAAGGTACTTTTTAATGAAATAAGAAATATATACGTGTAGGTAATAGTTAATATATTTTCCTTTTTGAACCACTTTTCCAAAATTTGATCTTTTTTTAAAGTAAAATTTCGTTTTCTTTTTAATGAATTTCAAATATTAGAAAAGTGACGCTGAAACACAGATTTAAAAATAAAAAAGTAGCTTTAAGAGTGGGGGCTATTTTTCGTATTAAAGAAAATTCCCAAAGTAAATAATCCTATTAATAATATTAGGCTATGTATATTTATTGCATCCTCTTTATTAAAATAAGGATTTTGATGAAGCAATTTAATAAATTTTGGTAACAAAATAAATAAATAATTATTTGATATTTGATAAGCTGCGAGTTATATATAGAAGAATATATAGAAGCTACGATTTTGCATAGTTATTCTTCATTAGTTTATTTATAAAACAAATAATGAGATAAACAACCATGAACAAGAACTTTTTTTTATTATTAAAAAAGTAGCTTACGATCAGACTGTATGTTAGCTAGAAAATATGAGACTTGAATTTTCAATTGGGACGACAACAAAAACAGTTTAAAATAAATATAATTATATTTTTTAAACATTCCAACATAAATCATCCAAAAGTATAGTTGTTAGATTTCATATATTTAACATAAATCTTGTTAATTGTAGCCAATAAATAACATTTTCCTTTCTATGAAAATATTCCATCTATTTTTACGAAAGTAAAAAAATAATAGGTTACCTGTTCCAAAACCCAAAGATAAAAGCCAGTTCGGCCACGGTCAATGGTGAGCCGCAGCGGGTCGACCAGAATAATCTCCAGAAATCAAAGTTAGACAATTTAAAATTAGTTTTCTACGACCCACATGAAGTCTGCGGCATGAAAAGATTTATTAGCCAACAGCCGTTCGTGCTTGCAAAATTATAAAACTAAGTTTTGAAATCAATGTTGCCATTTCGAAAATATGCAATTAGGGGGATACCATACCTGGATAGGATTCTTTTAATAGATTGGGACAATGGCCAATTAGAAACACCTAATAACTTATTAAGAATATACAGGTTGTCCCGAAAAGATTAGTCATAGATTATACCACATACTCTGGAGTCAAAAATAGATCAATTACTTACCTATGTACAAAAGTGCACAAAAAAAATAAAATCAATTTTTTAAATTTATATACACGAAAAAAAATTCACTTTTAGTTATATACTATATGGGACAGGTAAAATGTTTAATTATAGTAAGTAAAACAAGATTTCTGAAATTAGACACTTGTGGTTAGTAAACAGTTCAATTAGTTTTTAGACGATTTACAGTTAGTAAACTATTTACTTGTGGTTAGTGTACATTAGTTTCTTACTATAGGTACACTTTATACTACTAATTGGTTTTGGTTTATTTGCCGCTAGTTAACTGTTTTCTTGTGATAAGTGATTTTTGTTTTAGTAAGTGGTATATATGTATTTATGATCTTGCATTATTTATAGGCTTTAAAACATTATTTATCATTATTATGTAGAAAATATTAGATTTTATAAACCTTATTGTTACCTTAATAGACTATAGGTACGAATGACATTTATAAAAATTTGAGTACTCATATGTTTTAAAATAATATCAACTTTTACAAAAATATGAATAGGGACAATATATAGAGATTACAAAATATCACAGTCAAAAATACACGATTGATGTATCAAAAAATATATAAGGTACTTACATAATAGTAATAATATTGACAAATAATAATTGCCGTCCTTACTCTGCACAAACTCTGTTTCTGGGGTTAAAATTCACTCGTAAAGGGGTGCATAGGCATAGTATTATTATTATTATACTTAAAATGGCACAGTTTTTAATACAATAATTTTCTTTTTTAGTATTCGTCTGTGAAAACCTTAATTTAGAAGATACAGTTATCTTTTTTAAATGTAAATTATAAAATATTGAATTTAAACTTTACAAGTTGACCCAGTTTATACCATCAGAATTTAAGCAACCGATACTGTATCGAAACATTAAGGTCCGTATTTATAAACAGAACTCAGTTGAGTCTGACTTGGGTAAGTCGTCCTTGAATGAAAATCGAAGTTCGGTTATATCGCGTGAATTTAGAGATGGGTAGTAACAAATCCGTAAATGTACTTAACAGTTACAGATTTGCTAATATCCATCTCTAAATTTCAGTGTAACACCGGAACCACCTGCAACTTTAGAGAAGTTGTAACCGAACTTCGATTTTAGTTCAAGAACGACTTACCTAAGTTCGACTCAACTGAGTTCTGTTTATAAATACGGGCCTGTTTGATGAAAGAAGAAGATAAGAAGAATTCTAAAATAAAGTGACGTCACTCTAAATTCATTATGGTGGATCTATATATCACAATGAAGTGGAGAGGGGTATAATAATAACTGGCAATGAAAAAATATAGACACAATACGTGTGTCTTTTTTTCCACCGGTTTGTTGCAACCGTTGTTTCACCGATGCGGCCTTGAACGTTTTGTGTTGGATTCTGGTTGACCGTTGAAATAAATAACAGTTGACATACCGCACCGATGCCAACGTTGCTGCAACAGTTGGATAAAAAGACACACGTAATGCACAATTTCATTCTGCACATTTTGTAATCAAAATTCAGGGACGGTTTCACAAATAGTGCATTGAAAAATAATTAACAAGTATAATTTAATACTAAATCGAAATCAAAGCACAAATAGAAGCAAGATAATAAAGAATTGACGCTAAAAAAGCCGAAAACAGGCACAACACAAACAAAAAACAGAGCTGAACATGAACATAATCGCTGAACAAAGCAAATCCTGGAATTTGTTTATAGGCTTTAGGGCAACCTCTCCTTCTCATTTACGTGTGTAAGAGTGGAATGTTGAATCATGCATAATTTCTCACATACTTTGCGGACGCGGCCATTTTGAACCCTATGACACAGTTTATAGCTAAAGAATCAGATCGCTCACTCTGCGTCGGCACTTTTGATCTCAATGTTCCAGTTTATACACTGCGCAACTCAGATAATACAATATATGACAACCGCCTATAATAAAACAGCAGTCTTCTGCGTATCCTGAATTTATATCCCTGGAGTGGATGTTATTTTCAAACTTTCAACTGGACCGAGTGAGCTAACTGATTCTTTAACAATAAACTGTGACTCCAAAAATAATATTCACTGACACTGACAGCAGCAAGCAAAATATCACGTGCGTTTTAATCACCCGCTTCTGCTTCCGGAATTGTCGGTTCAGTCGTTCTAACCTGTCAGATTAAAACAAGAAAACCGACAATTCCGAAGCAGAAGCGGATGATTAAAACGCACCTATTAAAAATATTGCGCCAAGATGTAGGCAACACGTAATAAGGGTTCAAAATGGCGGAGTTTTCTATCTCCTTTTAAAAGGCACTCAGAAAGCTGCGCAGTGCGACCATTCTCCGTATAGTAAAAGAAAATCATAGTATGTGCCTCCTTTCCTCTACATTTCATTGTTATTTTATTTAGCGATAAAGGGGTTACGAACCAAGATATGGGTTACCAACTGTAAAACTTTGAAAAGTTCGAAATGTGTTAGTAAATCCAGCAGGTCATTTGTTATTTTAAAAATAGAATGTAGAGCTGCAGTTGCAAATAAAATTGCTACAAATCATTGCACGTCTGCGCATTAATGTCCTTCCGATCAGCCATTTCAATTTTTCTTGTTGCAGAAAATAGCGAGTTAGGACGCACTTGAAAATTAATTAGCTTGTCAAATTGCAGCAGCAATTCTGGAGGAAAATGACGGAAATAAGCGCTGACAACCCTAGAGTATACATGTCTGGCTATTCACGTTTTGTGTAAATAAACTAACTGGAATATGGAAAAATGAAAGAATTATCAACCCTTAATAATTATTAAATGGTATGTTTTCTATAAGTTGTTTGATATATTGACGGATCTGTTTCCATAACTAAGTTGGTGTACCTGTTTAGTGACTTAAAGTTAGCATGGCCACCGTATTTCTGAACTGTAAAGTGGCTCTCAAAATAAGAGTATAAAGCAAAAACTTCTATGAAACTTAGTACTTATTATTTTATGTAAAAAATGTACATAACGTAGCTATAAACCACCTCTTAATATAAATATGTTTCATTTATTAAACAAGGTTGTCCGTAGATATTCCACAAAAATTTGAAAATGTGCCAAGGAAAAAATCAAATGTCTCGAAGCTAACAATTCTTCTTCTTCTTTTTAAATGATATTTTGTGTGTAGATATTATGGGAAACATTTATAACTCTATGGTGTCGGTCGTGGATTATTGATATCTAACCCAGTTACTTATTAAATAAATAACATAATTTCAGAATCTTAATGACCTTTATAATCTATTTCCTTTCTTTCAGGTTATTAAAAAAGCAACAGACATTAACTTCATTGGCCCCACCAGAGTCACTCAGATCATGTTGCCTCTAGTACGACGAGCCAAAGGTCGTATCGTAATAGTGACGTCTGGCCTTTGTCGTGTATCTTCGCCAGTCAGAGGCATCCATTGTGGTCTTCTGGCCGCCATGGAATCGCAAGCCGAATGTTTGAGAAAAGAGCTAAGGAGTAGAGGTAATAATGAACCATATTGTATAATATTGCATAATATAGCATACTATTGTATACTATTGTATAATATTGTATAATATTGTATAATATTGTATAATATTGTATAATATTGTATAATATTGTATAATATTGTATAATATTGTATAATATTGTATAATATTGTATAATATTGTATAATATTGTATAATATTGTATAATATTGTATACTATTGTATAATATTGTATAATATTGTATAATATTGTATATTATTGTATACTATTGTATACTATTGTATACTATTGTATACTATTGTATAATATTATATAATATTGTATAAGTAATATTGTATATTATTGTATACTATTGTATACTATTGTATAATATTATATAATATTATATAATATTGTATATTATTATATAATATTGTATAATATTGTACAACATTGTATAATATTGTATAATATTGTATAATATTGTACAACATTGTATAATATTGTATAATATTGTATAATATTATATAATATTGTATAATATTGTATAATATTGTATAATATTGTATAATATTGTATAATATTGTATAATATTGTATAATATTGTATAATATTGTATAATATTGTATAATATTGTATAATATTGTATAATATTGTATAATATTGTATAATATTGTATAATATTGTATAATATTGTATAATATTGTATAATATTGTATAATATTGTATAATATTGTATAATATTGTATAATATTGTATAATATTGTATAATATTGTATAATATTGTATAATATTGTATAATATTGTATAATATTGTATAATATTTTATAATATTGTATAATATTGTATATTATTGTAAAATATTGTATAGTAACAGTTTGACTATCTGAAACAAGGTATTTAAAAAAACTATTTACAGGTGTTGACGTAGTTGTCGTTGCACCTGGAGAATTAACCGCTGGATCGTCATGGTTATCAGACCAACATGTCATAGACCAAGCCAAAGAAATGTGGAAACAACTGGGGCAAGAACAAAAAGGGGAATATAAAGAAAATTATTTTGAAAATGCTCTCAGAAGTTTGGAGAAATATACCAAAAATCAAGTAAGTAAAACTTGTACGATTATTATTTTTTCTACAACAGAGTGTGTAAAGTTTTACTTTTTTTTAAATACTCGTTATGCACTTCTGTATAAATAGCAACAAGATAAAACTTTTTATTTTAAATTACAATTTATGCAGTCTTTTTCTAAGACAAGTAACTTATTTTTGCTTATATTTATTATGCAACAAATTATCAACAGTTTTTTTATTTTAATCATAATTTTCTTTAATTATCATCAATTTAATTTAAAATAGACCATGGATGTCGATTTAGGTAAAAGTAAGTAGGTCGTGGCTGTGTGGATTAGAAAAAGAGTCAATCTCTAAAACGTTATTAGTATTACATAACACATAGCAAAAATATATGTTATACATTGAGATTACCTTATTTTGTGCATCTCAAATAATCAAGGCGTGACGTCACAAAGTAGGGCGAATCTTTTCAATCGTTGATATGGAATAAAGAGGAGATGATATGACGATACTAAAAGTGTTTGCATCTGTGCATTACACTTTTACGTCATGTGTCAAATTTGAACTAGTGGAGCTATACAGTTTTGTGAGAATAAATGCTTTTTTTTAAACAGCTTTTGTTAAATGATATAGAAACATTTTTATCCCGTCAATCTTCAAATATAAAATTATTGATTTAAACTAAATTAAAATACGACTCCAAGTACACTTTCCCGTCAGTCTTGGCATCGCTAAGTGCGTCCACCTGTCATATTGCAATATAGTGTTTATGTCGTCTCTACTTCATTCTATCTCGATGATGTTATAGAATAATTTATAAAGTTTATTTAGTTATAAAGCCGAATTTAATTTGACAATAAGTTTTTGGTATTAATGTTTGTATACTTAATGATTTTAAATTTAAATTATCTATTTGTATCTCATAACTGATATGGATTTAAATTCATCTGGCGAACTTGACGATACTCCTTCAAACATCCTAAATAGTGCTCAAAAGGTCACTGAAAATGTATTAATAGAAAAATCTGCACGTATTTACGAGCAGAAATACAATATATTTATAGAATGGTGTAGGAAGAATAAAGTAACCTAATACCTACTGGGAAAATGTAATTTTGGCCTATTTCTCTGAGGAATTAAAGTCTTCCAACCTACAACACTATATGGTCGATAAATTCTATATTAAATATATTTTCGAACTTTCACAAATTAATAGTATTTATTAAACCAAAAATAAACTAAAAACTTTGGAAAAGGACATTTAATTAATTTTCCATTGAAATCTTTTTAATGATTAAAGTAAGTAAACACTTGAGTATATAGTATAGAATATAAATATTTTATAAAGTTTTGCGATGAGTTAGTTTTTTGCGCAGTTTAGTTTAAAAACGTTGTTAAAATGTATGGTGTTCGTATGGTGTATTGCCTAAATTGATCAGTCGCCGTACCTCTAAAACTTCTGGCTTAGTTAGGCAATACACCATACATAAAACGTCACTTTTTTAAATTATGAAACTATTTGCGTTTGCTTTTCAATTATACATGCGGATCATCAGGATATGTCCTAATATTTTTCTCTTTAGTTTAGCCATTTGAAACATTGCAATATGTTTTTTTGTAATTCGAATTTATGCTTGCCAGGGAAAATTATGTAAAATTACAATTAGGTAACTATGTTGAAGATAAACAAAAAATATCGTAAAAAATTGTGATTATAACAAATACAGAAGTGGGATGAAGTGCCCATTGTTCATAATCTTAAAATATTGTTTAGTGTGTATACTTGTACTTGGTATAATGTAAAATAAACTAATACAGAAGTGACAGCTGATTCAATAATTACTTCTTAAGTTCTTAAGTCCATGTAAAAGAGAATTTTGAAAGATGCTTTTGTTTAGAAATGTGATAATATTAAAAGGGCTTAATTTTTTCTTATAAAATTTTCGCGGGGCCCCATCTGGAAAATTGTCCAGGGGCCCCACCTGGCTCTCGGCGGCCGTGATGGTTTCTATTGGTTTTGTTATTTGCGGGACTAACATTTTTTAATCCCTTTGGACTAAAATATTTTAGTCCCAAGGGAGTAAAAGTGGCACTTTAGTCTCTAAAATGAGGGAGTAAAATACATGTTTTAGACCCTGAGGTACAACAACTATTTTCGATACCTCCGTGTTGTTTTTTATATTCAAACGGATTTATAATACTCAAACTTGGGGTAGCCATGTGTGAATTAGTTAAATGAAAATGTACCTTTGGTTTTATAATGTTTCAGCAAATTATTATTTATATTTTAACAAACATTATTTTTGTTATTTGAATAATTTGTTATAATGAACCACCTAGGTACAGCTTCTGGAACAAATTCATTCAATAATATCCCATGTTTTATAGCAACGTATCTTTACTTGCCCAATCCAATAGCTTCTATAGACACTCCTTTAAAAGGTCTTTATGTAGGAGACCTTCTAAGAATGAAAAAAATCATGGCGAATGGAAGTCATCTGTTGTTGCTATGTGGATAGCACAATTACTCAAAATGTTGAAGAATGCTATGTTATTTCAAACAAAGCGTTTCTATAAGCTTCAGTTTTACTGTAGATGACTTTAATAGAAAATGTTTTGAAAATACTCGATACTCAAAACACATTGTATACGATGGGGTCTGGCAGGTATTTTTAGATCCTCTTTGGTTCTGATGTATATTTTCAAAAAATAGTGGGAGGTAAAAGTAATATTCATACCCTAACCTGGTGGAGATGAATTACACTATCCCAAAAACATACCGACCAATTAGCATGACATCGTTTTCCATGAAGACATTGGAAAGGCTATGCAAAAGGTACATAATAGACCGTCAGATAGTGACTGATTTAGGTGACCCATTTTCGCATACAAGCCTCGAAGAGGGTTAAAAGTACATCGATTTTGAGAAGAATGAAAGGAAATTTACGAATGGCCCCTGGGGATAACATATGGAAAAGTCGAATTTTCCACACTATTCCAATACTAGAAATAAGACGCAATCTATTATTGTTGATTAAGAGTTTATGATTCAACCGGCAGTTCTGCGTAAAAATAAATGGACAAGTGTAAAACAACCATCCAGTAGAAAATGGAGTACCCCAAGGTTTGGTCTTGGGTCTCCTTATATTTATTTTATATACAAGTGATTTATGCCAAATCACCGAGTTCAAAGCCAACTTTTATGCAGACGACAGATCTAATGCAAGCCAATGGAAAGCTCTCAAAAAATGAAAAAGACTTGAATAAAATAGGAATTTGTTCCCAACAATGGCTACTACCCTCAACATAAATAGGTACAGTATTGCACATTGGCCCAAATAATCCCCAAACACAATAACTTCAGGCGAAACAAAAAAGGATCTTGGTGTAATCATATCTAGAGACTTAAAATAGGAAAACCACATTGCTAATATAGTAAAGAAAGTCAACAGTCTCATTTACATTATCAAAAGAGCTTTTTAAGACCATTCCGAAGATATTTTCCTGAAACTGTACACAACTCACTTAAGGTCAAAGATAGAATTTGCTCAGACCGTTTGAGATCCATACTGTGTTAAAGACATTGATCTGTTGGAAAGAGTACAAAGCAAAGTCACCAAAATACCATAGGCCCTACAAAACACTAAGTATTGTGATCGGCTAGCCAAACTATTACTTTCAAGTTTAAAGAGTAGAAGAACTAGAGGATACTTGATAGAAATTTACAAGAACGTTGAGAGGTTATTCGAAGAAATTAGATAAAGAAAAATGTAATAAATTGTAAAGAAAAAATGTCATTACAAACAGAACTGTATATCTGTGGAATGGTTCACGGGAACGCACAATCTCAGCCCATAACATAAACCAGTTGAAGGCAAGATTGGATAAAAAGCTCGAAGAAGAAAGAAATAATTGTTAACTTTGGTATTATTTAGGTTTTTACTAATAATAATGCTAATTATTACAATACATAATAAAAATATAGTTTCCACCTTTGAAACACCCTGTGTATAACAAGTTATCCACTCTGTAGTCTCGAATCTACCTTTGCATTTCATAAAAGGTTTTGATGTACTACTACATACATAAAAATTTTTAGAGTAACAGCATAAAAATATGCCTTAGAAATAGTGTCCAATTTTATGATTATAAACCGACCATAACTATGAAACTTTACTACGTTTTTATAACTTACTATTATTTTTTATATCCAATGAAATTTTAATTAAAAAACCATAGAAAACGGTAAATTGAGTATAAAATGATTTTGATTAAAACTTTTATACTAAAATTACTTAAAACAAATAGGTAAATTGTCAATTTAAATCTACATTGTGTACGTAAAATACGGAATACGTTAATTATCTCTTGTGCAATATTGCAACTAATGGATTCTACAGATTAATTTCCCTTAATAGTCAATTAACAAACAAAGTAAGTCCGTATGAGTAAGCAGAGGTAAGCTATTTTAATACTAATGCGCGATTTTGGCGCATCTCTTTGAATATATGCTGTAATAGCATTTAATAGGACAACAGGGCTTTCCATTTATGTCACAATAGAACGGGATATATTGTGTTGGAAGTAGTTACACAGTTCGACGTTGCCAAAGTATCTGCACAACTTTACAAAGTCTGGGAAATTGTTTGTCGTCGATTTTATGAAAGAATTTCTTTCGTAGTGATAAATCATAAATCTTTTTCTTTTATTATGGTAAGGTATTATTTCCGAGTTACTAAATAATACATACTTACATAAACGTGAAGTAGAACTCTGCTTGCAGTTGTAGTAGAATATTCAAGTATTGAAGTAGACCTTTTCACTTAATAAAACTCACTGAAGACCAGGGGCGTGCGGTCCATGGAAGCGGGGGAAGCACCACTTCCCTACACTTTGAGATTTAAAAATAAATATTTTTCAGTTTACAATGTATAGAAATTAATAATTAAATTAGGTACTATATTTTCTCTGAAACATTACGTAAACTTCGTAAATGTACTAACAATTCATTGGTGTAATGTGTAAAC